TTTTTTTCTCTTTTCAAGACAAAGTTCTCACTATGCAGTTCAGGTTGGCTTTGAGCTCATTTTGTATCCCAGGCTGGTTTTGAACTCACAGTGATCCTTCTGCCTCTGCCTCCCAAGTGCTGGGACTATAGGTGTGCACCACAATGCCCAGCAGGAAACTAAAAATTTTAAATACAAGCCTGCCAAGGATACCCACCAAGACCAAGTGGACATGTGCTGCAGACCCAATAACAGAATATTCCTTCCTTTTATAAACCTCTGTCTTTACTGCTTTGTGTAACTGATGGCCTTACAATGTGACTTCAAGTATAATGGGACACTTCTTTTGTGAAACTGGCAGAGGCTGATAGTGGCTTGAAGGGATTCCCAGGGGTGTAATCCTCAGCTGCTGCGCCTATCCCTGGAGCCAAACACCTGAGGCTATGGGAGGGGCTCCCAAGGTTGACAGAACTCTGTACCTGTTCTTAGGAGAGTGACCCTGACCACAGTCCACTCTCAAGCTCAAGAGACAGTGTAGGTGGTGGCCAGTCTTGGCCCCGTGACCAAACACTGCCATCATAGCCCACTCCTTTTTTGTTTTGGGACAGCGTCTTGCTTTGTAGTTCAGGCTGCCCTTGAACCAACTATGTGGCCTAAGTAGTCCTGGAATTCATGGTAATCCTTTTGCCTCTGCCTTCCAACTACTGGGATTACAGGTACGTGCCACTATTACAGAAAATAGACCAAACATGGCACTGAGAAGTTTTAGGAGGCAGTTTATTTACACTGGTGGGCTTGAATGGGATCTTTCTCCCAGAGTCAGAGCCCTACCCCAAAGAGTTTGGGGACCTATATAGGGAGGGCAAGAGGAGAGGCACAAAGGCAAATTTTACGCATTTGATTTGAAGGCTGGATGACATCATGGGTTGCTAGGAGAGTTTAAACATCTCAAGTTACATTGTAAGACCATCAGTTAAACGAGCTTCGGTTTCACAAAGGAAGAAATGTCCCATTACATTTGAAGTCACATTGCAAAATCATCAGTTACACAAAGCCAGTGGAGACAGGGGTTTATAAAAGGAAACAATGTTCTGTTATTGGTCCTGCCAGGTGCCTGAGCCTTTTAGAAAGATGTGGGACCCACCTAACTAACCTGAAGACAAGGATGAACTGACAGGAAGTTTCCACCTGTGCCACTCTCCAGATATCCAAGGATTTATACACACACCACACACACACACACACATCACACACACACACACACACACACACACACACACACACACACACACACACACACACACAGAGTCGCTGCATAGGCATAGAGAGATGCACAGCGTCTTTACTAGGGAACCAAATGGGTCCAGAGCGCTCAGCGGCCCCGAAACTACATTTCCCAGAAGCATGTGCTACCTCACGGTCTGTCTTGCCCCTTTCTGGCGCCCTTGGGCAAGGAAACGCTCAGCCTGTGTGAAGCAAAGGCTCTCGGGAATGGTAGTTCGCGTTTGGTCCGCGCAGGCGCACTTTCTCGCCCGCGGTCGCCAGGCTGCTCTTTGTGGCGATGGCTGTCCTTTTGTAGAAGATTCATGATGCTCCCTCGCCTGTTGGTCCGACTGCCCTTTGGCTTTTCCATCCGCCTGGGACCTGGGCCTAGACCCCACACGTGAGTCGCCTGGACACCGCAAGAGTGTGTGACAGGGTGACACAGCGCTTGTGTGAAGGAGACGTGGTGCCACCCGATGTGGGTGTGTCTGTGGGCGGATGTGCTGGGTCCTGATCCAAGTGAGGCGTGTAGTGCGTTGGCCAAACCTGCCTCAGCCGGGACGCGGGGAGGGGGCTCCGTGTGGGGTTGTTGCTGCCGCAGGCGTGTGTGCGACCCCGCGGTGCTGACCTGCAGGCCTCCGTCCCAGAGCCCCAGAAGTAGAACTTGCACCTAGGGGCCTGACCTGCTGTCCAGGAGGCTGCAGAGCTGCTCACTCCAGGGAGTGCTGCCAAGGGGCGTCATGGAGACCCTAGCCCTGAAGCCCGAGGAGACAGGTACAGCCCTCTTAGTTGTTGGGTTGTTGATTTGCACTTGAATAGACTGACACTTTGAGAGGTCAGTCTAGTTTCCCAGAAGCACCAGCCAGGCTGGCCTTTTGCTTTTTCACCCTACACGACCATTTATTTGTTCCCACGTGCTAATGGGAGGAAAGGAATAGCAGTGTTTCCTCTTAAAATATCGGAGACACCAAGAGGCAAAACTAATTCCCTGGTGCTGTATTTGATTCTGCCAGATAGTGGGACTCACTCCTTGCTAGATACACCTGAGTAGTTCCTGCCTTTTCTAATTCCTGTCTGTGCCTCGGCTGGGTAGGCTTTACTTGGGTGGTGGCGGTGGCAGAACAGACTCTTTGATTTATTTCTCCATCCTCAGCGCTTTTTACTTAAGACTCTGCTCTTTCCCCCAAAGAGAATCCAGAGACTAAATCAGGTTGGGATCTGCAGGAAGCCAGATCTGAGGTGAGTGCCTCCTTTCTTCCTTTATGAAAAGGGTTAGCACACTTTCCCTCCTATTCTTGGATCTGCAATCAACCAAGGACTTCCACCTTGGAACGTGTTTTTGAGTGCTCAGGAAGTCTGGGGAGTGAGAACAGCTCCAGTTGAAGACAGTATGGGTGACACCCCAGGTGTCTGTATGTGATCAACTTTCATGAATGCCTCTTCCAGCCTTATTGAGTTTGAGGGGTGGATCAGTTGCCAGGACCTGTATAGCCAAGAGCTGTGCTCTGAGCTCTGAGGGGTGATCAAGTAGATGCCAGTTCACATGAAGTCACTTTGTCCATCTCCACATGCTGGCCAGGGCTTGTTGCAGACCCAGAGGATGTTTCAAGTGGGGGGGTGTTTGCTGGAGTACAATCAGGCAAGAACTTTTGGGAGTACCAGAGTAAGAGTGATGGTAGGGGATGCATTACTGTTTGCTTTCATCTGTACCAAATTTCTGGTGTGGAGCTTTCATGGAAAAAGCCAAAAGTTTAAAGAAACTTTGGAACCAATTAGGAATTAGCCCTAGGACCACTTCTGTGCTAAGTGGAGCTCAGATCCCCTCCCTTACAACTTTTGAACTTTGCTTCTCATTTTTTTCCTGCCACTAAAACCGCCCCTACCATATGGTAAAATTTATTCATTTAGGTACCAGGAATCAAACTCAGGACCTTGTACTTGCCAGGCTGGCACTTATTACACTGAGCTGTATCCCTTGCCCCATATGGTAAAATTTGAAAGGGTATAGTTGACAAGAAGAATAAAGGAGGAAAGAAAGGTCTGGAGGGTTGAGGACTCATTGAATGCTTTTTAGAATTTTGTGATTCTGTTCATCTTCCAGATGAAAGATACAAGATGTGATTACAGAAAGGTAGAATACTGATTTTAGAGAAAGCTGTAAAATATGTATTGAGAGACATGCCTAGCTTCTGGGGTATTAGAATGATCTGAAGTTCTGTGAAACACTCAAAGATATATGGCAATCAAAGGCAGTGTATGAAGCAGGATATGGTAGTAGACCTCTGTAATTCTAGCTCTTGGTAGGCTGAACTAGGAGGATTACATGAATTCGAGGCCAGCCTGGGCTAGGTATTAAGTTCAAGGCCAACCTGAACTACCTGTCTCAACAAAACAGCACAAACAAATAAACAAAAGAACCCCCAATACCTAAAAATTTAAAAACAAAAATAAA